GTGAGCTGCTCTTTGGAGAACTGTGGTCACAGTTGGCTAAGGACATAGTCTCAATCTGAAGAAGCAATTTCTGAAAAACTTATTTCATCCTCTAACAGTGAGTTTACACATTACAACACTGCTGTTATACCTCTCTCTGTTAGCCTCCATGTAAAGATGTAAAAATGCAATAACTAGAAAATTGAAAATATGTTTTAAAAAAATATCAGTAATATCATAATTCAGATTGTACTCTTACCATAAACAAATGAGTTGCCATCATTTAACGTTTGTTGTATCTTATTAGTTTTCCTTTGGTAATCTGGATATTTCAATTATTCATAATGTAAAATTCACATTTCATTAAAAAACAATTAACTTTTTTATTTATAATTACAAAAGTATGTGTTACATTGAATCCCGAAAGTTTTTTTTAAATGTCATACCCATAAAAAGCACAAATTTCACAAAAATTAAAAAAGGATAAAAAGAACACATCTGAATTGAACTGAAATGAATATTCCATCATTCCACAATTGCTTTTTTATAGTCTTACAGCCTGTTTTTCAGCTAAATAGATTTGCCCTACTGGCATTCATAGGCTGGACTTGTCTTTCAGGCAAGAGAACATTCTTTTTTTTTTGTTTAAGCCAATTAAATTGCTCCATTACAAGGGTCACCACTTTGAGATGCAACAATCGCTAAAAACATTGACTGATAAACTGCTGAAAAATGTCCGTCCACCCATTTTCGAACTACTTTATCCAATTCAGGAGATCACGGGGGAGCCAGAGCCTGTCTTGGCAAGCAATGGGCGTGGGGCTGTATACACCCTGGGTGGGACGCCAGTCCATCACAGGGCAGACACAGACACAGACAAACACACACTCACATGAGGGTATGTCTTTGCACCTTGAGGGGAAGTCGTAACACCCAAAGGAAACCTACTCAAACACAAGGAGGACATACGAACTCTACATAGACAGCACCCCAGGAATTGAACTCAGAGCCCCAGTGCTGTGAGGTAGAAATGCGAACCACTGCGCCACTGTGCCGCCTGCTGGAAAACATCCAACATATTAAGAGCACTTAACCATGAGGTACATCGTGCTTTCACTGCCGTAGATTTGCTGTGTGAGAGAACTTCTTTGCTTCTTGAGAAAGCCTGCAGCCCTTTCTCAAGCACTGTTTGTAGGGAGGGGCTTGCCTGTGATTGCTGGATGCGAACCTGCACAGTGTTACTCTCTAAATTACGACCTTCAGGGGTTTGAAACAGAGCAATAACTTGCGTGAGTTTTTCTTCAGTAAAGAGAAATCTGCCAAAGAAAATGTGAATGACCAAGAGATAAAGAGATGTGCTGCCTTTAGACATGTTCAATTTTGCAACCATTCAGCAAGATTGTATTACCTTCCCCGGGAAGCTATTGTAAAGAACGCATACATCGGCACTCTTTCTCCACTCTCCAAGGTTGTGGTTTCTGAAGGGTAAAATGCCTCTTTAGGACAGTATTATTGAAATTTCTGTATTTTGATTTATTTTTTGAGATTGTTATTCCATTTTCCTATCCTGATATTGTATTCCCAATATGAGTTCAGAACAGCTCTCTATCACGCATACATTTTCTAACCACTTTATCCAATACAGGGTCATGGGGGAGCTGGAGACTATCGAAGAAAGCAACAGGCAGAAGGCAGGATACAGCTTCAACAGGATGCATGTCCTGCGCAAGACACACACACTTACATCAGGGCCAATTTTCCTAGAAGCCAGAATTAACCTGACAGAATGTTTTTGGTCTGTTGGAGGAAACCAGAGCCCCTGAAGAAAACCCAGTGAACACAGAGAATACATACAGAATCCAAACAGGCAACATCCCAGAAATTGAACCCAGGGCCCCAGTTCAGCGAGGCAAAATACAGCACCTGTGGTACTCCCCGCCAGGAGAAATAATTAATATTATTATTTAAATTTCCTGATCTGGTTTCATAGGCTTAGTACGGGCTCAGAACAGCTGAATACTGTGTGCTTTCGAAGATCAGCACCCCTCCAAGAAAAATGAGAGTCAGCATTACTTTGCAGGCTCGTTGTTTGCATTAAAAATAGAAATTTGTCAGTTTTAAGGTCAATCAGAAAAAAACGTATTGGTGCATTGTAGACTGTAGTACCAGTACCAGAATGCTCTGAATAACTGTGTAATTTATTGAAAAGAAAATCAAATCATAAGGCAAAGAAAGCTGGAGGGAGTAAAGAATTCTCCTATTGTATTAATCAAATCCCTGACATTCCACTTTGCATTTCTCGATTATGAAAGCAGACATTCAATGGGGGCAGTTTTAAGAGGCATCCCAAAGGGAATTGTACAAATGATATAACTGCAGCACTAATAAGATGAAAAGTATTCCCTGATTGATGCGGTCTCCTAACAATGAATACTGCTAATGATCCACCTTTAAAAGAAGATGTTTACTGGAGCTCCATGCATTAACAGCACCTTTAGCTCTTGGAATAGAGATAAGTGGGGAGATAGCAGTGAACAGGGGACCTATTGATGGATGATTAATGAGATTCTGTATGAGGCAGAGAGCGACATGCAAATGGATAGAACAAGGTGCATTGCTAAGCAGATGCCACAGCTGGGTGAGGACTGGAGGAAGGATGGATTGGAAGACAGATTAATATGCAACAATCTACAGGTAGATCGATGGTGAGCTGTTTAAGGAACAGAATCTATTACAGGAGTATTTGAAAGTGCTGGCCACATTTGGAGACGGAGAGAACTGGAGGAACAAGCAGAAGGGTAGGGAGTGACAAGTGTAGCCCGAGGGATAAGCAATAGATTAGTGGACCAATACTGAAGAAATATCCCTAAGGAGAAAAATAAATCTTCGACATAAGAGATTGTACAAATGTAGAAATCTATACTATTGTACAGTAATGCTTTCGCCTTTTAAAAGTAAACTCCTGTGACATTACCCTTTATATTTCTGTGATAACAGGATTAAAGACATAATAATAAAAGATATGCTGGTGACTCCTAACACATTGTATTTTACTGCAGTTTAGTACTATTGCAGATTCTTTGCTTTTGGCAGGGAATCTGACACATTGCAATATTGAACTACAGCATCAGAGGCATTGAAGATATAATAGGATTAGAATATCAGAATTTCAAAAAGTCCCTCAGTTGAGACTGCAGCAGATGTATATTAGGCTCTGAAATACTTCAGTTTCCAATCTCTAGTATCAAACAGTCATCTGTCACAAGAATTTTCATAATTTGTATTATTTTTCTAAAATGTAACTTCCATTTCACATTACCAGGAGACCTTGCTTTAATAAATGCAATTTTGCAACAGAGACACCAGAAGCATTCCATCCTTTTCTGTACCTCTCTTTCATATGTACAGTATATCTTCACGTGTAGACATTAAAATGCCTCCAAAAAACTAGTGCAAGATATTTAGAACTAGGGGATGGATTCTGAAGGGAATAAATATAGGCTTTCTTTGAAAACAGAGTTCAATATACATATTCCTGCGAGACATCCAAGCACCAGGAGTCTGAAAATCTTTCAGTTTCTAGGGAAAGAATTTCCCAAAGAACTAAAATAACAGGGGACACCAAATCACCTCACGATTTTTAGACTGGGTAGAGGCTGGTAAATACAGGAATTGATTCCGCTACTGGATGTAAATTACATTAGTGCTTATCTTGCTGGCAATACACAGAAAGTCCTTTGCATTTATAATTCATTAAGAGGGTGAGGTGGGTGGGGTTCTCTCGCATTAAGCTATCAAGAGTCCTTGATTCAGACAGGCCTTGGCAAAAGAACAAAGAACAGAGAAAAGATTCTAGATCACTAGCTTTAAAAAAAAACTCCACAAAAAACAAATATCTAAGCCACACTCTGCTTCTAAAATTTGGGCTGCAATGTACTGAACACCAACAAATCATCCTCAATGGTCTGCAACTGACACATATGGGCTTCTTCAATCAAATCCATCACCTTTTCATCTGCTTTTTTTTTCAATTGTAAAACAAAAAATTGTCAGCCTAGTACTTAATAAAAGCAAGGAGCACAATTAAATATCCCTAAGCATTAATCCCACTGAAGAAATGACTAAAGTGAAATAGCTAATGGAAATGGCCTTCTCAGGAATGTAAAAAAGCTTTAATATTGAAAACTGAGAAAGTGCTGTGTTGCGTTTCTGGAGTTACTTTGGTGGAACATCAGAATCGTTGCTTTAAAAACAAGATTGTATGCCAAGATACGTCTTTATTATATTGCTAAACATCGGCATTTTTGGCAGGCTGCTGTTTTATCCTTCATGATAAAGTACTGACTGTGCTTTCAGTAGATAGGTTTTTCCAGAACACATCAGCTTTAAGAGAGTTATAAATTATTCAGTCAGTCTATGGTCATTGTAATTAGACTCTATTGATAGACTGCCAGCATTCACACCCATAAGTCAAGAAGAATAAGAAACCAGATACAAATATAGCTCCTCTGAATCAGAACTTAATAACTTTCTGAACAGAGCCAGTGTGTATGAACAAAGCCTGAATGCTAACACAGAGAATGCTTTTAGGGTTAGAACTGAAAGTACATGAGATGTTTACAGATGCGAGGTCAGTACCATGTGCAAGCAGTTTTCATTTTTCAGCATCAATTATTAACCACTGCAATTTCATCTGAAACGAGATGGAAATCATATCACAAAAGGTATTGTTCTGTCAAAATTGACAGTCAAAATCCTGTTTTGTCTGTCTCTGCTTTTTTTATCCACAATCCAGTAATGCTTTCCCCTGATGCAAATAGAAGGCAGAACACAAAATAGTCTAAATGCCAAAAGCCTGCTGGATTTGCGAACCGACTAAATGCAGACTAAACCAGAAACATAAAAGAAAACAAAGCTCCCAGCTACTTGCAGAAAAGTAATATGTTGCAACTATTCTGCACTGACTGCATCTCAGAGCCTTTATCTACAGAACAAGCCGACAGAATGAGTAAAATACTTACTTTTAAATGATCACCCACAGGAAACAAAGGAACTGGCTCTCTGTTTATTTTCTGTGCTATTGAGCTGTTAAAATCTCAGCCTGTTCAAACGTACACTGTAGAAGCTTTGTCTCAGCTGGATTTGCTGTAGTTTCCTATGGGCTGTGTGGATTTGCAATAGTACTTTCCACTCAGCTGGTTGTTTGGTGTTCGGAGGCGCGCTGCTCTGTAATGAGGAGATACAGCCAGACTCTGCCTATTTCTTAAACTCCAGGGAGTTGAGTACATCCCCTTCCAAGTATCCAAATTAAACAGCGACAGCACTTAGGCATTGCACATTAATGCCTTTTTCTTTTTTGTTGTTGTTTGCAGACTAATAGGAATGAACAGAAAATAATATAAGCACATTCGTTTTTTTGTTTTTCTAAGGAGTAAGGAATGTAATGTGTTTGATCCTGATAACTGATTTGCATCTTTGACAATGGAGGTCGACAAAAAATATTAAGTATTCCATACAGTACATTGATTGCAATTAAGAAAATACCAGGTATAGATTAGCCTTGTTCTTCAATAAATATAGTGCATTTATGCAGTATGTAAACTAAATAGTAAACTAAAGACGTGCATTGATAACAGTTGTTTTTTTCTTGACTGCATTAGAGTAGTAACTACTACCTTTTTAATATCACATACTACACAGTCATACTACACAGTCCTTAATGCAAAATTGTAATCTTCAAGATGATAAAATGAGTGCGTTCATGCAAAAATCAAGGTCAAATTCCAGTTCAAGTCCATGCACAGTAATTGATATTTGAACAGAACATTCTGAAAAACTTTAATTATGCATTACATTATGCTTTAATATGGAATTCTTGGTTGTCTTTTACCATGGGTAACCTTTAATGTCCACCAGTCAACATGCATGGTATTTTGCAGTAACCCAGCTTTGTGGAGAACAGGTCAACCAGCATGTGCATTCTGAGTAATGTTAAAACATACTTCTATAGAGGAAGATTGCATTGAGATTCATGAATGTTGTGATGTCTATGTAAGCATGAACATATTTCCAAGTGAAAATAGTTTATGTTCATTGGAGCATTAGCATCTGACAAGCTGTAAAACTGCTGAATGGCAGATGGCCATTCTTTGTGCCTGGAAAAGGAAAACTTTATCAAATCCTGATTGTTATCACACTGTATGAGTGTTTCCAAAGGATCTTCCTCCTCTGGTCAGCACATAGTCACCATCCCTTGATAGAATCACAGTTTGCACTGGGCTTCCTCTTGATATTGCCTTTTTGTAGTGATTAGAACTGCCCCCAATGCTCAGAGGCTGTATTTAATAGGCTGACTTCACTGAGATCTTGATCAGGCTTTTGGAGCACTTTTTCATACGTTGCAAAGTTTCTGGACACATAACAGTGGAAAACAGGGTGCTTTCACAGTAACTGCAGAATCAAAAGATACTTGGATTGCATGCCATGATGACCAACTTGCATCCACTGCACACAGTTACACTGAACATGTGTGTGATTGCAACATCATCTGTAGCACCTAGAGTAAGGATTTCAAAAATGCAATTCCTGGAAGACTTTGTGTGTTCTGGCTTTTATCCCAATCTTGCTAATAAATTCAAAAATTATCCCACTTATTTTCTCAGGCATATAAATGTCCTTGTATTGTATTTATGTTTGGTTACTCAGAAATGTAACTTCATTGAAGATGCCAATTACCTCCTCAGTGCCTGATTAGTAGTATATCTGACCTAGAATGTCTTTGTGTCCAAATGTGGAGCTGAGTACTTTTGACCAGTGATCCTCAGTTCTGGTCCTGAAGAGACCTCTTAATGACTGAATGGAATTCATTATTGACTTAATTGGTTTCAATTGGAGTTTGAAATAGCACTCAAAAAGCGATTTGTTTTTCCACTTGTTTCTGACCTTAATTGCTTAAGGGTAGTAAACATGTATATCGAGTTGTAACATATCTGCTCTCAAAATGAAATGATGCATTTTGTGAGAAGGTTATTATAGTTTGAAAGGACATTCGAAATGACTTCATGTAGATATTTTCACTAGTAGTCAGATTTCATTCCTTGTCCAACGAGGGAAATGTAAATGGGTTAGTTAAAATAGGTTTGGAATATGCTAATTTAAACATGGATAGAGAGGTGTAAATCAAACTCTAATACAAAATTCAAGAAATTCAGTGTATTGTCGGTCAGGGAATGAAGTATTCAATGGAATCCTCATCCATTTGTGCAGCTGCATGCAGCCTATGAGCACCATGATTTCCCCCTAGAATTGTAAAGTTTATTAGTCAGTGAAGGAATGGATGTCTGCACTTACATGAGAGGACATAACATTCTTCATCCAATGATAACATTAATTGTCAGTTTCAGAGTATAGTTATTTGTAAGGTCTTATCAAGTGTAAAAGTAATTTACTGCCTGAAGAATGTTGATACTACATGTGGTGGTGGGGGTATTTTGCATATTGATAATAACAACTAGTAGAAACAATGAGCTTTGTTTATAAGACCTTGCAGCATCTGTGACGTTTGACTCTAAAGGGGTTAACAGTTTTACATATTAGGACAACAATGATTTCAGCTCGGTACCCCTGAGAATTGTCTCACAAGTATTTTATCTCCAGAGGTACTCTATACAGCTTTGCTGCAGCTCTGTAGCTCTGTAATGATATATGGCATCATTTTAAAGCTAAAACTATTTTACATTATAATACTTTACCTTCCCTTCCACTGTAGATATTGCACTACACACCCTTTCAATTCTTGCATTACAAAGAGTAAAAATAATATTTTTCTGCTGTCCCCTGCTATGTTTTCTTTACGAAATATGAAATATGTTGATTGCATAAGTATTCATACCCATGAACTCAATATTTGGTGGAATCAAAATATAGTCTCAAGTCTTTCTGGGTAAGTAGCAACTTTGCTCACCAGCTTTTTCCAGTTTTTGCCCATTCTTCTTTACAGATTTTCTCAAGCTACTTGGGGATTGCTTATGGACAGCAGCTTTCATGTCTTTCCAAAGACTCTGAGCAGGATTCAAGTCAAATCTGTGAGTCAGCCACACAGGGATATTCATTTTCTTTTTTTGTTTAAGCGCTCTAGTGTAGTTTTGTCTTTCTACTTTGAATCATTGTCCTACTGAAAAGTACATTTTTGTCCAACTTTTAGGTCTGAAGCTGGTTCTCTTTTATGATTTGTCTGTACTTTGCTCCATCTAAATTCCTATCAGTCTTGACAAGCTTCCCAGCCCCAGCTGATGAGAAGCAGGACTACAACATAATGCTGCCATCACCATCATTGACGATAGGGATGGTTTTGCCTGAGTGATGCACTGTGTTGGGTTTGCATCAGAATTAACACTTTGCATTTAGGCCAGAAAGTTCCAATCTTGTCTTGTCTGACCATAGAACCTTTTGCCACACATTATCAGTATCATTTATGTACTGTGGCGGGACCAGGAGATTACTGACCCATTAATTTCTCCCATCTCAGCCACTGTTGGCCTGATGGTTGCATCCCTGACAAGTTTCCTCCTTGCCCACTTGCTCAGTTTGGAGGAATAGCTTGATCTAGATAGTGACTGGGTGTCTTCTACTTCTAAATAATTGAGCTCTCTATACTCAAAGAGATATTCTTGTATTTGAAATGTTTTTATTCTTTCTGTTGGTTTAAGCCTTTATACAGCATTAACCTTGAGTTGCTTTGAAAAATCCTTGGTCTGCCTGGTTTACTTGAAATTTCTTATAGAGATAGATTTATTTATTCTGAAATAATGTAAAACACTATCATTTCGCACAGATAGAGGCCTCTTAGCTTATTGTGTAGTTTGTTAAGGTAATTTTGTGCACCTAAATTAATTGCCACAGCAAAAAAATTGAAGACTTACACAATATTAATTATCTGTTCAATTATTTCTTTTTGTAATTTCTTGTTTTGAATGTGCGGAGTTGGTTGTGTACAGTACTGTATACAGTATTAATTGCTACTTCAAAATGTCATGACAGCAAGCTTTAAAGCAACAAAATTAGAAAACTGTGCGAGGATGTGAAAACTTTTGCAAAGCATGATATGTGTCTTTAGAGATCTCACAACAACAATATAGGTGATCCAGCACAAGTCTAGACATGGGACATATTTGCTTAAAATGTATGCAATATGCATTATACAGTAATTGTAGGATATAGAATAATGCAGGATAAATATAAATCTCCTATAGACAAAACAAAGCCTTACAGTGTTACGTTTGGAGCCCTGCAAGAACGTGCAGAAAGGTTTTAAAATAATAAGAGCGCGTGGGTGGTCTGTAATTTCTTGCTTTGTATAAAAATCCATATAAATCCATATAAATAATCTCAATATATTCCTCTTGTTTCTGTAAGTGCCGACAGCTCTGCTAGCGATCTATTGAATTTTACTTACATTTTTCAAAGCGTGTGCAATATTTCAAATGCTGACACTTGCTAGGGTAAAAAATGACATCGGTAAATAATGCTTGGAAAAACACAGAATCACACTGGCCAGTCATGCATTTCTGCCTCCAGCACAGGGGGGACAGTGTTGCTGCATTTTTTTCGCCATTCTTATATAATACTAAATATTGGGCAGGTCATTTAGATGTCTGGGAATCCCATCCCCCACCGATTAACAGTAACTGTAAATACCTGCGAGCATTTCTGGGGGTCTGTCTCCTGATACATCTATCTGTGTCTACTGTTGCCTCCATTATTATGCATTTGTGTCTAGGTGTTATAAATGGCACAGCCTGACACCCATTTATCATATCTGATAGTTCTCAAATGATTTGAGTTCTGATAGCCTGCTTTTCCTTAATGCAGGCAATTTTATGTAAAGTACCTAACTTGACTATAATAGAGTGGGTGACATTTCAATGCCTTTTTGAAATTATCAGCTTATGAACCACATTTATCCATTAGCTTCATGCATATTGAGAAAAATGTGACACTATTATTTGTATGCCCCAGGCACAAGGGGAGGTGATGTTACCAGTTCTGTGCTGTTTCACTGTTGGTACACACCCTGTTTAAACTCTGCCACTTAACAGTGAATGTTCAGGAAAACAGGACAACTACAGCAAGTCACAAATACTTGAGCAATGCTCAGTGATACTTTATTTCATTTGAAAGCTGGAGCTGTGCACATGCACATAACAAATTACCTTC